GAATCAAGGTATGGAGGGTCTCTCAGTTTCAGGAAACATTTGGATCTTAATCCACAGAAAATGAGCAACCAGTGGAGAGACTGGAATGGGGAAATGACGTGATCTGACTTAGGTCTTATAATGGGCTTTCTCAGCCTCAGCACTGTTGACATTCTGGGCCAGATAATTCTTCGTCGTCGGGGAGGGGACTGTTCTATACATTGTAGGGTGTTTTGTAGCATCCCTGCTGTCTACCCACTAGATGCCAGTAGTGTCCCCCTCCCCCAGTGTGACAACCAGACATTGCCAAATGTTGCTCAGAGGTGGGAGGGTGGGGAAGGGTGGGGTGGCAATATCACCTCCTATAGAAAACCACAGTTTCAAAGGATCACACCCACCCAAGCAGGATATTTTAGTTCTATAAAAACTAAAACAGGACAACTGATTTTTTTTTTGTATTCACATTTAGAGATTTGCTCGAACTCTCTCACTAGATTAAAATTTAACTTAAAATGTGCCTTCTGTGCTTGCTTGTATTTAATAGCCATATCCTAATGTAAAGGCCAAGACTATCTTTGAGTCAATCCCAACGTGATTCATTTCTCCCATACCTGTAAAAACAACACCAGGCAGGGGCCACAGAGAAATCCTGTGTATAGGCTAAGAGAAACCAGTATGGGTACTTGAATCAACCAATGTTACAACATACCTGAACGAAGGATGCCCTGAGTGACACAAACCACTGATTTCACAAGATGTAGAGATGGAGAAATGACTCAGACATACCTTAAATCATTATTCAGGATCTTACAGTTCTCACTTCTCTACTTGTTTGCTTAGATTCCTTGAGAATCTCAAATATTTCCTTTTGGTGTGACCGACTTTTCTTCACCCTCAAAACCCTGAAAGCCACTGCTTGGAGGCATGAACAAACTTGATGACTTTGTTTGCTCTGTATTATTCCTTTGAAAAGTCTCCATAAAATATGCATCTTGTGTGTGCACTTTTATAACCAAGGCTTTTTCAGATTTAATGCCCACGTCCTCTTGATTTGTCATTGTTATAATTTCTTCAGTGCTTACGTACAGGGTAATGGGCATGCTTTTGACAAGGGACATTGCAACCATTCATGCTCTAAACTGACACTTTACAACAAAATCAAATGATTGAGAATTTCTGCATTTGACCCACATTGTGACTGAATCGAGATATTAACAAGTTTGGGCACAGATGCTTTTATGTGTTTGAATCTAACTTGGAGTAGGGTGTTTTTGAGCTAAGGCTGACACAGAATTTACTATGCTAAGAATCCTCCAGTTAAAATTAATGAGTAAGGATAACCCCAGAGTGGGGACGCATATATTGATGTTGCAACTCTAGTTTAGTGGCTCAAGTACAACTTTTCTGATCTGAGTTCATTACCACTGAGGATGGGTGATAAAGCCACAGAAAGGAAGCTACCTTAACTTCTTACACCAGCACATGAAATAAGGAGGGAAGACTTTACATAAGGGGTCAGGCACAGGAATGAGTGTGGGTGGATGGTGGAGCCCTTCATGCCTTAGTCTGAATTCATCTGCAACCCTAACTAATTGTGGAATGTTTGCATGTAGATTAACCTCCACAAGCCTCAATGAGCTCATCTTGAAAATAGGCACGATAGTGACAGCTCTTCAGAATTGTTAAGAAAACAAGAGCTAAGTCAAGTATCACATCTAGCAGGGATTAGAACATAATAAACACTCAGGAGACGGTAATTATTGTAAAAGCAATGTGAATAATAATCATTAGGCTGGCCATTAATTCTTAGCTTACATTAAGAAGACATTCCCTTATTCCAATCCAGAACCACCCTTGAGTAGACATATGCTTTTAATATAAGCATAGAAAGAAAACCTTAGTAGATAATGTAAGGGTCACAGTTTATTGTGACAAATTTAAAAACATTTATTGGCGCCCTAGCTGGTTTGGCTCAATGGATGCAGCTTCATCTGAGAACTGAAGGCTCCAGGGTTCAATTCCAGTCAAGGGCACATACCTTGAGAGTGTGAGGCAATCAATCGATGTGTCTCTCTCACATCGATGTTTCTCTCTCTGTCTCTCCCCCTACCTTCCACTCTCTCTAAAAAAGTCAATGGAAAATATCTTTGGGTGAGGATTAACAAAAAATAAATAAAAATTAAAAATAATTAAAAATAAGAACATCTATTGGCTACAATTTCACCTGCTGATCTGAAATGTGAGAAGATTTTTTAAACTTTACTAGCAAAAGTGGAGGTTTTGACTATAATTTAAATATATCATTTGTTGATGAGATAGAAATTAGTTATGAGGAAAGCTCACATCAAATATTCATGCCGAGACACAGTGTCTCAGAGGATTGAGTCTTGTAGCACCACACGTAAGAGGACTGTTCCCGTTTACCCAGGGAGGTTCTCCCTACTTCATACCCTTTTGTCATAACCTCCCACTGCACTGAGAACCAAAGCTAAACTCTGCCTGCCTGCCGTGGCCTCACCAGCCCTGGGTGATAGGCATGTCCTCCTTTCTCACCTACCCTTTGCTTCCACGTGCCCAACTCCTTAGGACTGGTTCCTTGGAAAAGGTGAGCTCTTTCGTGTTTGAGACCTTTAGACATGGGGGAGGTTGTCTATCAACACAGTTGCTTGTTTCCCTCCTTTTTCTCTGAGCCTCACTGCAACTTCCTAGGTATGTTTTCCTGGCCCATGATTTCTGAAAATGTTGGCTGCCTACCCCCACTTCCCAGTAAGTTTTCTACCCAGCTGGGATTTCACCACTTTTAATTATCTACTTGTTTCTTGGCTTGTTTGTCTGTTGTCAAACTGGCCAGTAAGCTCCAAGCTGCCTATGATATTCATTATTGTATATCCAGCACTTGGAGGGAGGGTGTTGGGCACATGGTGGGCACTCAATAAACAACTGAATTAAAGAATGGAAAAAAAATTAGTCTTAAAGAGAAATAAAAGTTGGTGAATGTCTGTATCTTGAAACGACTTTAAAATAAAACTTGATTTACTAACTTTCCAAAGACTAAAAAGGAACAATGACAAAATTAAGTTGACCAAATTGAATAGATATTCTTTCAGTTACATACAGCCTTCTTGCCGATTGCTTATTGTCAAGAGCTAAGATCACCCAACCTCAAGGGCATCATTGTTCTTATGCACATTGGCTTGACCAAAGCCTTTTTAAATATAATGAGTCAGGAGCTGCAATGGTTCCCTGGATCATTGAAATATAAAGGCTTCTGCTTGATTTTCAAAGACCTGTTCATTTGCCTTCATTTTAACTGTCTAGCATTTTCTACTCTAAACCTTAGCACGTCTTCCTATTTAGGCAGCTGGATTCCCCCTTGTGCTGCACATTATTTACTGGTACATGAGTGGCCACTGCACTGTGGGTGATCTGAACAAGATCCTCACTGGAGGGTAGGAAGAGGCAGGGTTGTTGAGTGGAGAGCACATTCCAGGCAGAGGGAATGCATAGACCAAAGCACTGAAATGCGAGTCGATATAGAGCAGTTGGGAAAATGCCCATCTGGGAAAATGGCCTGTAGTGCTATTGAGTTTGAGTCTCAGGGGCAAGGGGAGAGAATGTCCAGGAGGAAGAGTTAGAAAGGATCAAGCTAAGCTCTAGAGGGCTGCCTGGTTTGCCTCCTTCCTTCTTCTTTTCCTTCCTCTCTCCCTCCCTCTTATATCCTCCTTATTTTCCCTATTTCCTTCCTTAGGATTTAAACAGCAATTCATTGAAATGACACAGCCTAATTTGACTTCTCATGAAAAACAAAACCTGAACAATTGTTAGAATACATAGATTAAAGTTCTATTCTACCTCTTTCCACCAGCATGACTGTGATTGACCTTAACTCCCTTTTCAGCAATACAGGGATAGCCTCTCTGCCTATTGAAGTCCTGGTTATGGGGATCATGGCTGATAAACTCTTCTTCCCCATGTAAAGTATAAAAAGCAAATTATGCCTTTGAATAATTTGTTAGCCTAAAACTTCAGACAGGCCTAACTATAGACAGCCATAATCTACTGTGTACCAACAGACAAGAACAGAAAGAGCATGGATATCCTTGATGTCAAGCAATAATCTCCAAGTAAGTTGGAGTTTTTTGAGGTCCCTGGGGAAGCAAGAGCCAATCCCTATATGCCTGGCCAATCTGGGAGGGGAACCTGACTTTGGGGATGGGAGGGGTTGGGGAGAGCCGGTCTGACACCATGATGACAAATGTGCTTCATTTGTACATTCTCGTAGACCCTGCCTAAGGATGATACTATCCTTATGTAAGCATCAACCTCAGTTAGACATTGTTCCAAACCTTAGTGTTTGTTATATTTTACTTTATTATTAATACGTAGTTTTAAAAAATTCTTATTGGGCTTTTTAGCCTAATTTGGACAATGATTTCTATGTTTGCATATCTGAGAGCATTCAACTTGAGACATACAATAACATGTAAGTAATTTTGTTAGGGCATAGAATAAAGAGGTAAGGATTTAAAGTTTAATATTCCTATGGATAATAACACATTTTACACTTATATTGAAAATATATTTCTTATTTTATTCCAAAGCTGTAACATTGTTTCAGCTCTGCTCAGTTTAATAATTCAGAAACTGAATTCAGAGACATAATTATTGCCATACTTTTAGGAAATAGATTTCTCAAATGGTCAGAGCTATAACAATAAGTGACATATGACATCAAAAATTCCTTATAGACATGTTTGAAAATAACAAATTATCAAATTTATTTTCACCACTTAGTTTAACAATGTTTGTTAAATATGGTATAGGCCATTGTGTTTAACAATGCTTTGGCAAAATTTGAAAAATATTTTGTAGGCCATAAATTTGAATAAGTATTGTTACTAAGTTATCATTTTAAATGTAATTAATGATTTGATGAGTTCATTATTCCATTTCAGTATTTTATTCAACATATTCGGTCTACTTTAGCAGAAAAGAGTAATCACTTCTAAAATTTATTTTAGGTTTTGAAACTAACATGAACCTGACTAGCCGAGATGATCCCGGTACATCAGAGATCGCACCAGAGACTCAAGATAGAAACGCAAACAACCATGGAATTCAATTATCTAATTCACTCTGTAGTGCTGTCACTACTGAAAATGGCAATTCCGTCTCAAATGGTAAGCACATCTTAAACTCAGTACGAAATAGATAAATTTTAAATTGTATCAACTCCAAATTTTAAATTGAAGAACGGATTTAAAACATAAAAATGAAGTAGGCTTAAAAGCTGGAAAACAGTAGCTCAGTGGTTAGAGCATTAGCCCATGGATCAAATAGTTAAGGGTTTGATTACCGGTCAAAGGCATGTACCTAGGTTGCAGGTTGGATCCCTGGCCTCCGTAGGAGTGAGTGTCAGAGGCAACCAATCCATGTGTCTCTCTTACATTGATGTTTCTCTCTCCCTCCCTCCCTCCTTGCCACTCTCTAAAAATCAATGGAAAAAATATCCTCGGGTGGAGATTAACAATAATAAAAAAGAAGAAAATAGAATATAAACTATGAAACGTCTCTGTGGGGCATATTGACAACACATTATAGGATAAATCAAAGAACTAAAATCATTTTCAGTATTAAATGACTTTTCAGAAATATTTATGGAGAATTTGATCTATGAGAACCAGTATAAAATGAGACTTATACTGAGCAGAAGGAGTTAAATCACTCTTTTTCTTCTCATACCTAAAACGTATGAAGGGAAAATAATATTGAAGGCATGGTAAACACCAAACTGGCTTTAAGTGTTTAATTGGATGATATGAATGCATCATTTGGAAATTGGCTTGACTGTATGTATCCAAAAGTTTCCTAATAGTAGCTTAAACAAATAACTTATTTCTCTCACACATAAAAGAGCCCCAGGGCTTCTAATAATGGTTAATGAAAAGATTCAGTCCAACCCATTTCTGAGAATATCCAAAAACATGTCAAATAGAAATGTTTAAATTTGTTTAATCTGACCCACTGCACTAGAAATCTAAGGCAGTGAAACACTAGAAGGGAATGAAAAAGTGAGTAAGAAATGCAATGGAAGCCAAGCAAAGAACCCCACATAGTCTAAGCTTTTCTCCAAGGGATGTTTGGGGCACTCACCTCATGCAGAGAAGACTGGGCTGTGCTTCTGACTGCCTCCTGGGATCGAGGGGCCAGACTGAGTCTGGGGTCTGCCAAGGCCAGGGCGTGGGGCCTTGAAATGTCCATCCTAAGGATCAGTTGAATCAGAATCAGGAACCACATCACCTATGAATCATCTCAATCCAACCTCAAGGACTGATATGACCCACAGGTACCTGAGAGAAAACAATTATTTATATATATATATATAGCATGTTACGCTTCAATTCAATACATAGTCAAAAAGTACCAGGCACAAAATAAGCTGAATAATATTCTAAGCAGAAATAGCAGTCAATTGCAGTATATCCATGGCTGCTCAAAAGATCAGACTTCAAATGCACATTCTTTAAAATAAGTGTGTTTACGATGCCCAGGGAGATAAAAGATTGAGAATTTCAGCAGAAATGGGAAACAATAAAAACATGTCAAATGGAAATTCTGAAATTAAAAAATGCAGTCATAAAATTAAGTATAATGGAGGATGAGTTTAAAGTTAATTAGACACAGTCATTTAAAAATAAAAACCTGGGGCAGTGAAAGATAACTCAGAAAATATCCAGAATGAGACACAAAGAAGCAAAGAAGAAGAATGGAAATTCCAGGAAATGGTTTAGAGGCATAAAGGATACAGTCAGGGAGGAGGACGACTGGAATCCTAGGGAAAGAAGAGAAGGTACATGGGCAAGAGAAAAGATTTGGTGAGAAATGTTAGAGAATTCCCGATGCTGATGAAAGCATCAAGACACAGACTTGAGTTGGCAGTTCCCTAGGAAGTTTAACATACACTTTCTGTATGACCCACCAATCCCACTCCTGGGTATTTATTTACCCAACGGAAATGAAAACAGTGTCCACACAAACACCTGAATGCAAATGCTTGTGCCTGAATTCATAATCCCTAGCCCTGGAAATAAAGTTTTCTTCAACCGGCACCTAGGTTGTATTAGCTACCTAATGCTGTGTAAAAAATTACCTCCCCTCCCCGAACTTGGAGGCTACATACTAAAACAAACAGCTATTATTGTCCAGTTTTTTGGGTGAGGAATCTGGATGTGACTGAGCTGATTGCCTTTGGTACAAAGTCCCTTGTGAGATAGCTATCAGCTCGCAGCCAAAACTATAGTCATCTTGACACTTGGTTGACAGATGGTCCATTTTCAAGGTTACTCACATGGGCCCTGGGAGGCTTCAGAAGATCCACTTCCCTGCTCACTTACATGGGCTTCTCCATAGAGTGGCCTCACTGCAGGGCAGGTGGCTTCCCCCAGAGCAAGCAATCCACAATAGCCAGAAAGAATGCCTGTGAGGGAAGCCACTGTCTTTACACAGCCTATTCTTGGATGGGACATTGTTAGAAGAAAGTTATATATTCAGTCCACTAGATAGGAGGCGACTATATGAGGTGTGAGTGCCTAGAGTGGACCCATTTGGGGCTATTTTTCAGGCTGACCAACAGGCAGCACAAGGAAAAACTCTGCAGTAAAAAACCATGAACTATTATACGTCACCAAATGGATGAATCTCAAACACATTGCCCTAAGTGAAAAAAAGTTAGAATCTGAAGACTGTAAGTGTGATTCCATTTATATGACATTTTGGAAAAGGCAACACTATTGGACAGAAAACATGAGTGGTTGCTAGAGGCTGGATATAGCACAGGGAGCAGAGGACAGACTGCTGTCTTAGTCAGTTCTGGCTGCTGTGACAAAATGCCAAAGACGAGGTGACTAGTCAACAGCAGAAATGTATTGCTCACATTTCTGGAGGCTACACGTCCCAGATCAGGGTGCCAGCATAGTCAGGTTCTGGGGAGGGCTCTCTTCCAGGTTGCAGACTGCTGACTGCCCACTTCTATGTCTCCCAGGGCAGAGGGGCCAGGGAGCTCTCTGGGGACCCTTTTTTAAGGGCACTAATCCCATTCATAAGAGCTCTGCCCTCATGACCTAGTGTCCTTCCAGAGGCCCCACCTTCCACCTGCCATCACCCTGGGGAGTAGGATTTCAACATGGGGGGACACAGACATTCAGACCACAATGAACGACAGGGGGTATATGGTGCTATTGGCAAACAGGAATGCATGTGTTCCCATAAATCCACAGATGTGTGCATCTAATAAGGGTGGCTCTTTCTCTCTGTAAATGTGATTTTGGTACAAATAGAAAAGAAAATATGCAAAACCTGAATAGAATAAATAGAAAGAAAAATGCTCCTAGTCATATTGGTGGTAAAATAAAGACCAAGCCTGAGTCTTAAAAGCAGCCAGCAGTTGAAAAGACAGAATACTTTCAAAGGAGTAACAAAGTCCAAAGACAATGAAAGGACATATTTAACATGTCAAGTAAAATAACTGCCAATCCAGAATTTATAAGCAATAAAACACTCATAAGAATGAAGGGGAGTTAGAATATTTGTGGAAAAAAATAAAAACTGAAGAATTAAACATGGGCAGACTCAAAATGTTCAGAGATTCAAAGAGGAATACAGAACAATTTTTAAAAGTCAGTGAGGTCAGGAGAGGGTAAAAGACAATATTTAATATTCTAAACCAATTTCAAAGGTAACCACTGAAAGAATAATAGTGGGGTATATAATTCCCAAACTAATAGAAAGAGTAAAACATAATAATAAAAAGTCAATTAATCAAAAGGATGGCCAAAGAAGGGAGGGGAGGGGGAAGTAAAATAGAAATATCTGAAAGGTTACACAAATAGAAAGGTCTTAGATGGTAGATAAGAAAGCATATATGAAAACAGTTAAATATAATTGAATCACATGAACTTTAAAAGACTCTCATCTTGTATAAGTTCACATTAAAAATAAATTGATTAAGATATTTTACAGTCTAAGATTTCTAAAGAATATGCAAAACATAAGGATAATGAAAATGTTAATGTAAAGAAATAGAAAATGAAAAGATTCACCATGAACATATTTTAAAACAATTGTCATCTATTTTGAAAATAAAAACTACATATCTGTTACACACACATACACACACATACAGTTTTAACTAATGACAATAAAAATGTAACAGAATTTGTGGGGTGCTGCTAACCCCTTAATCAATGGAAATTTAGAGCTTTATGCATATTATAGCAAAAGAACAAAGACTGAAAAGCAGTGTTAAAAATGTCAACAAGTTAGAAACAAATATTAAACATCAAGAAAATGGAAGGAGCCCTAACCAGTTTTGCTCAGTGGACAGAGCACCAGCCTGTGAGGTGGGGTCTCAGGTTTGATTCTGGTCAAGGGCATGTTTCAGAGTTGCAGGCTTGATCCTTGGCACCAGACTGGGCCTTGTGGGAGGCAACCAATCGATTTGTCTCTCTAACATCAATGCATCAATGTCTCTCTCTCTCTCTCTCTCTCTCTCTCTCTCTCTCTCTCCCTCTCTCTCTTTCTCTCTCCTCCTTCCCTCCCTCCCTCCCTTCTACTATCTTAAAAAAAGGAAGGAAAGATGTAATAAAGATAAGGAAATAAGTTATTGAAATACAAAACAAGCAAGGAAGCTGAAAGTTGGTTCTTCGAAAAAAATTGATTTGAAACATGAATAAAGTGATAATTCTCTTACATGAGCAATAGAGAAATAAAGTGGACACAATAGCCAATGCTAGGAATGAGAAGGGGGATCTACCACAGATCTTTCAGAAATTAAAAAATAAGAAGAATAAATTGTGAACATATTTATGCCAAAAACAATGTGTAAATTTAGATGAACAGATATACATCTCACAAAAGAACAATACAACCAACAAAAATGGAGAAAAGTAATAGGAAAGCTACTTGCCACTTGTTGGCCTTCAGCTGATGATAAGCCAGGTTCCAGAGGAGACTTGGAATATGCCTGGTCTCCTGACAGTCGCCTTGTTTGAATGTCACAGGGAAGTTGGTTGGTGCATCCCTAATGCTCTCACTGTGCTTCTAAGTTGAAAATAATTGTATCAGATTATTTCACACATTTTCTGCTTATTGCTTTATATCAGAATATTTTCAGATATAACTG